TCATCGTGCCTCAAGTAAGCAATATCATTTTTTAGACCTGCATTGCATTAAAAACATTCATAATCTCGTTTTTTAGACGCGGTGGTACTTGGTGGAGTAATTACATATATTGCAGGTTTATTGTTGGTTATGGCATTTACTAGGTAATAATTTTCAAACATTAAAATTTGATACATATTATTAGTTCTTTTTATAAGAAAATACATGTCTTTAAATACTATTCAATACATAATAAACTTTCGTTAATTTTGTAAATATATCTTGATTGTTGAATTAATTTAATTTCAGCCCCTATTGGATTGAATCTTACCAAGAGACTTTCAGTAATTTTAAACATATGGGACTATGGGAATATTGTTTCGAACAGTTTAGATATCCATATTATCAGTTTGACAAACAATTTGATGGATGTCACCATATTTTCTCAGAAGAATATTATGTGATCAGAGAATGGTTATTGCCAGGGTGGTTAATGGTTGTGCAGACATTTGTTACTCTTTCTCTTTTACTCTCGTTCTTTGCGCAAGTTGTGATTGCATTGACCTTAGTCCGTTGGCCTTTAAAATTTGTGTTGAATTATGAATGGTTGCTTTCAGCTTTTGCTTTTGTGTGTTGTATCACAGCAGGTAAATGGAAATTTTCAATAATGTAACATCACTATAGCAAAAAAGTTTCAACTAATCTTTAAATTTTAGGAACCCTATTATTTTTAGCAGTATCAATATTTGGAGGGCAATGTTGGCGCAGAGACTGGTTGATGTACCCAAACTTTAACCATTTATCATGGTCATATGGTTTGGCAGTTGTTTCGTTCATGTTCCATTGGTTAGCTTCGAGTTTGTTGTATCTAGATGCGAAAGCCGGTTATAGATTGCGTAAGGAATCTCGAAATTTAGTAATGCAAATGCAGCCCAATCTACAAAGTCATCAAGGATTATCAAGGGGAGGATATATATAATCGCTCGTTATATCGATAGTATCCAAACAAGATTTATTTACAGAATAAGTTTCAAACTATTTTTGGTAATGTTAATTTTAAGCAAATATTTGTAGATCTGTTTTCAAACTCTTCTGTTTTATATGACATTGTTTTATAATTGAGTTTTCAGCGATAGTATTTAATTCCGTCCATTTTTTATAAGAACCTGTATTTATAGATTAAGAGAATTATTCTTACATTTCTATATATATTACATTTCATATATATATATATATATATATATACAATATAAATATATACATATTTTTAAAATATATTAGAAGCTACAAATGTCTAGTAATACAACAAAATGACATTAAAATATCACAAAAAATAACGTACCTCCGTAACTATTTTTTATTGCACAGTTTTACATAATAAATGTTAGTATCATATCAAATTTTATATCATATACATGTTTTAAAAGTACAATAAATATTTTATGAGATTAATGTATGAATAAAGAAAAATACCAAAATGAAGCAAAATCTTGTAAAAGTATCTACAAACTATTCTCAAATTAGAAATAAACATTAGTTTTTCTTGTAATCAAATCTGAAATTAAAGAAGACGATTCGAGGCACATTTTATACGAAATATGTACATGAAACCATTGACTGAATACTTCGTCAATGGTATACATACTATGGAATTTGCTATGGATATTAAATTCCGCGAACATGGATGTGATATGATGTGGAAGCGACTTGACTTTTGGTCATATTATGGCTTTAGTGTGTGGCGCCACTACCGTTTGACTGGTAGTACTTCACTCTTCTGTATTCCCTTTCGCAGTCGTAGCACTCAACACTTTGTCACTAATGGACACGACGTGGGACTTCGCGACGTTGCGTGCGCGAAGAGGAATAGTAGAGAGCAAAGTACACCGGTTAAACGATAGTCGCGCTACGTACTAAAACTAGAATATAACTGTGATCAATTTGTTTCTTGCGGTTTCATGCAACCTCGTATCCACAGTATACATATATATCTGTGGGTATATCCTGTATATATTTTGTCTATACTTTTACATATCGTCTGTCTATGTGATACCAGGTGATACAATTATGAGAAATATTGATATCGTAAAATTATATATCCGGGGTATAAAGATTACAAATTACATGAAATTATAATCCGTCCGCATACAATTCTACATACAAACTTAATAAAGTTCAGTTATGATGATAAATGAATGTTATCAGTTTTTTATTCATTTTTTACCGGCATATCAAGAGATATGACCGCTCCAAAGATTAATTTTAATATAGAACATAATATTTAATATAAATGAAGATATTTATATAAGCCGTTTTTTAATAATAGTAATACTTGAATGTATGAATTGGATTTGTTTTTCTTCAGGAGTTAATATTGTTAAAAGGTTCATAGAACAAAAATAATGGTAGTGATATTTAATGTAATATTAATAATTATAGTGTTACTAATTGCTGTTTCGTTTGTGAGATATTTCTTTTGGCGAAGACGACCAAGAGATGTTAACAAAAAGCATGTTGTTGTAAGTAATTAAAAGCTAATGTATACCTAACCCTTATTAAGATTTCTTATTTTTAAAATATTTTCAAAATGTAAATAAAGTTACTTCAAATTTTATTTTAGTAATAAATTACACAATTGTATTCAAACTAATTATAACTGCATGATTTTATAAGTTTTAAATGTTTACTTACAAAAATATTTGTTAATATTTTATGACAGGTGACTGGTGGATCAAGTGGTATAGGAAAATGTGTTGCAATTCTTGCTGCAAAGTGTGGAGCACATGTAACAATAATTGCAAGAGATGTTCACAAATTAGAAGTTGCAAGAAATGAAATCATTCATGCATGCAAAAACAAGGATGTTCAAAAAGTTGAATATCTATCTTTAGATATTGGTGAAGATTATAATGCTGTTGAAAAAGCTCTGAGTGATTTAGAAAGAACTATGGGTCCAATATATATGTTGGTGAATTGTGCTGGAACTGCAATTTGTGGCAAAATAGAAGATACCTCTATAGCAGATCTACAGAAAATGATTAATATTAATTTCTTAGGAACATATTATTGTATCAAAGCTGTTGTCCAAAGAATGAAAGCTTCTCAGGAAGGAATTATAGTATTAACTTCTTCTCAAGCTGCATTATTAGGTATTTTTCGAATTTCTCAATTAAATAGATTTACATTATATAACATATTTTTATATATGGTATTTCTACTTTTTAGGTATATTTGGCTATTCTGCATATTGTAGTACAAAATTTGCACTTCGTGGTTTGGCAGAAAGTATATCTATGGAATTAGCACCATATAACATTTCTGTAACTCTTAGTCTACCTCCAGATACTGATACACCGGGTTTTGCTATAGAAGAATTATCTAAACCACTCGAAACAAAGCTTATATCTGAAACTAGTGCTCTTGTCAGTCCAGAAGTAGTAGCAAATAAACTTTTTAAAGATGCATTAGTAAGTAAAAGCAGGACTGTATATTAATTACATTAGGAATGGATAATTAATAAAATAATAATATATTTTAGGCCGGGAAATTTTTCTCTACTGTCGGTATGGAAGGATTTATGTTAACTGTTTTATGCTCCGGAATGTCACCGCTTAATTCGATTCGAGAATTATTTCTGCAATCGATGCTAATGGGTATTTTTCGACTTGTAAGTGCCTGCTATCTTGTACATTTTCGAACAATCATTCAGAATTGTATGAAGACACGCGATAGAAACAAAAAATCTGAATAATGATTTTTCACAAGCCTATGCGTATATATACGCGTATGATAGATACCGAATATGTATGGCGATTCTCGTGAGACGCAGTATCGCGATACTCATTTCGTGTATCTTAACAACATCGGCCTCTTGGTCGGTTTCACACGCTGATATGTATATTGCGATATGCATATGATATATACTGAATATATGTATATTGTTGTACATGTATCACAATGGAATCGCGATACTAATTTCATATATCCTAAAAACCTCGGCTGCTGGTGACACTTTATAAAGTCGGTAGACAAAACAACAGAACATCGAAACAAATTGTGTCATTCACACGGTAGATTCGGGATCGTTTTGGTCCTACAAAATAGCACACCTAATTTTTATGTTTCTGTTTTTTTATAAACTAAATGCATTCAATTTCGTTGTTTAATAATTTTTTGTGAGTAACAATCTATTAACTATAAAAAGTTGAGCAATGGAGTTTTATTATTTTAATACAAAAGTACTTGAAAATCGGTGCGATAAATAGATTGAAAAATTATGATAAATATGAAAATTTTGTTATATTTTATACTTCCTTCTTTGAGAGGGATATATTTTGTTTATTAATGTATTTTGAAGAAACTTGTGCCTACTTCCTCACAATATAGCTTTTTAAATCTGTAACACTTTTAAATTACCTTCCTTTTTCTTATAACAATTTTTTATGCGTTTGTATCCACTTATTTATTTATATACTAAATTAGTATTTCCTTTTCGCTCCTTTTTTTCTTTTATCTCTTTTATATAACATCATACAGATGGGACCTCAAACTTTTGCATTTCTAAAAGAAAATATCTTCGTTTAAAATATATGCTCGAGACGAGCTACTCTCAATTTCAATTAAAGAATAAACGAAACAAATGATCGACACAAAGAGACAAATGAAATCATATTTCATATCTCATACGCATATCGCGACTCGTTTCACACGACTCGGCGATACATGTATCGTCGTGTGAAATCAATCTACGTGTAAAAGAACTTATATAATAGAAATAATACACTGCATTTGTAACTTTTACGGTATATGCATAATAAACAAGCGACTATGGAAAATGTTGTTTTTGTATTCTCTTATCAATGTGATCAGTTCATTTACTAATTTGTTATATCAAGAATTATGAAGCTGTTATATTAATAAGTAAACCATCTATTGTAAATGTTTAAAGATAGAATGAAAATGTAAATAAGACGGGAAACATATCGATTGATTACACGGAAGTAAAAAGACACATTGCAATCGTTAACGGTTTGGCTTACTTTTATTTAGTATCCCGTAAGTTCATAGTATAATGTTCTTCATTAAGCTTTATGGTTCTTACACACATAGAACGGGACTGTTCTCCTCGTCCCTACCGTCACGATATTTTGAAAAAACGGAAACGCTGAGACTTCGTGTGTAATGTATATTTCAGTGTGGACGATGCCCCATTGATGATAACGCTTGCATCTGGTCACTTTCCAATGCATTCAAAATGTCCTGCGCACCGATGTTTGAATATCTCTAATAATTTATTAGCTCTTAAGTCTTCAGAAAAGAAAAAAATCCACACAAGCATCAGTCGATTCAGTGATCTATGCTGGCGGGAGGGCAGCGTCCAACGTTTAAAACCGAGGTTGAACTTATGCAGAGAAATGGCAAATAACGAAGATGTGTCTCTCAGAATTGTAAATTGGTAATGATCGGTTTAACATTGATTTTATTACCTTTCTCTCCGGTTCTCTCACTCTCTTTCTCTCAACCCGATCATTTTCTTCACGCACACATAGCAGCTACGCGTTCGTACTTCCCGCTCGTCATCCTTCGTACATCCACGCAGTTTTTTCCTCGGCATCATCTCGCGGATTCGTTAAAGTCTATTCCGATTTATCCTAAAGCGCTCAAGGTGTACATTAGGGAATCTGCGAGACGAGGCTTAATTTGAGGGACATTTTATTATTTTCTTTATTTTCGAGTTCTGTTTTCATTTAATTTATTTACGTTTATTTTAAATCGATGTTCGCTTATTCGGGCGCTCGACAAACGCTTTCATCATTCATTTTCCTCTCCGTCGATTATCATTTTATCTCCTCGATATACCCTTCTTTTTCTTTCGATCGTTTACATCTTAAATCGATTGTACGTTGCGTGTGGTTTAAATTGTCATCAGCTTCGTCGAACGTTCGAACCGGCAAACGGCACGCGTTTATGATTAATTAGACCCATTGCTACGTGTGATCTGTCGCGCATTGTAAACGTAACTATCGTTATGGGAGGTTTCTCTGAAAACTGAACACGTTCATGATAGATTGATCTTCTCCTGCCGCGATCGAGACTCCTGATAAATTAAATCTTTCACTTTTTCCATCGAACAGAAGTCATTCTTTTATCTTGCAAGTTTGTTGAAACTTCGTTGTGTAATATTGACGAACGAAGAACCGCGGATATCAATGAGTAGTCAGGAGCCTCAATGGCTACCTATTTATTAGTCGTGTAACAAGGAAAGCGCGACGAGTCGTATATTAATATATCGCCGATAATGAGGGATTGATAAAATCTTCTCCGTCCCGAGGGTTTCGATCGACGACTGTATACCTTTTATTTATTTCTAACCCTCTACAGCTAACATTATTTTTTGCCTCATTTACAGTTCATCTATATACAGAATCAATTACTACATACGAAAGATATAAACACAATGGAATAGTGTGGAAAGTAAAACAATTATGTACATATAAGTGAAATGATAGATTTGTGACAGACGTAGGTGTGTTAAGATAGAAAGAAAATTAAAATTAATACGGATGAAATCAAGAAAAATATAATCACATTGTTAGATATCAAATAGATATATGATTATATAGAATTTTCCTACAATACGTTTCGTTTTAAAAATTATTTACAAGACGTCAAGATATCGTCGCAAATAACTATAGCATATTTTACTAATAATAAGCGGTAGAGGGTTAAAATCACAATAATCATTCATGCACACTCTTCACTTCACGAAATCAATAACCTATTCACTATTTTGCAGGGAATTAGTTCACGCCGCATCAGTATACAATGTTCTTTTGACAAAATTTATTTTTTTATGAAATTGTCTTACCGGTAATCCAGTTTCCACCATTGATCACGACTTTTATCGTATAACGCACTAACAGCATTATTTTTAATGTTTATCCTTTTCTTCTTTTAATAATCGAATCGGCAATTATTTCACATGCGAAACTGACTTCCGGCTCGTTGGTTCCGATTTATTTTCGGTAGAATCGCATCGCCATCTGTTACTCGTATTACTTACTATCGAAAAAACTAACTTTGAATATCTACGCGTAAGAGCACATCGACGAACTGTCAGGACGGTCAATCATCACACGAAAAAGGATCTTTCGATATTCGCGTACCGCGACTCTCGGGAACGGGTACGTATTTGTCGCTGAGGCGGATTTGATACATATAGTTGATTTTTTATTATAAAGATAGTATAATTATTTTTTATCCAAAGAAAAATTAACTTTCTTCAACATTATATAATTCAGAAAGAATTGTGAAGCAAACATTAAATTAATGAACTATAGATTGGCAGTAATAAATCTTGCTTATACGTCTATCAATGGTTCTCTATTAATACTTTCGTCTACATTTCTATCTTCTTGATTGTAAAGAAGTATATATTTGAAATAAAATAGAAAAATCAAAACATTCGTATTTCAATTTAATATATCAGAATGTTATAAATCAATTTTAGGTTATATTTTAATCAAAGAACCACTGATATAAATTTGATTTCAGAATAAATATTTGACACAAGTAATCGACTTAAAATCTCGATTGACGTCACTAGGAATGAAGATCAATATCCGCCCAGCGAGCCATCGACAAAACCGAGAATACATAAGTATGTATACGTACTCAAGCCTACAAAGGCGAGCATCTTAAGAACAGAAAAATTCGCGACACTTAAGAGCTACTATAGACAATGGTACAAAAATTCAATGCTGCCTACGACGTTAGTATACCTTAGACAACGTTTTTATTTAAATCATCATTAATATAATCACCACCAGCGTCATCATCATCATTTTTATCTCTCTCGTCTCCTCTTTGTTAGCAACATTATAATAAAGGGGCGACGAGGACGAGCGTGGAAATTACAACTTCCTTCTTCCACCTGGCAAGGGGAGGCCTCGGCTGTTGTAAGAAGAAAAAGGGTGCAGGAAGCTGGCAAGCTTTAATTGTGGCCTCGAGGTAAGCCCTATCTTTAGCCCTTTCTTTTTATCTTTCGTCACGAGCAGCCTCGCGAGGCGCGGGAAGAAGAAAGGGAAGAAACGTTACAAGAAGGATTGTTCCCGGTCGTCCCTTTTTATCTTAAAGTGCGTCATTCGACCAACGCCTTAGCGCGTCAGTCCAACGAACAACCCTTTTTTTACTTCTTGCGTGTGTATGCATTTCTTTTTCTTTTACTTACCCATTCACGCTCTTTTTTCTCTCTTTCTCTCATTCTCTCCTTCACTTTCATTTCCTTTCGTTCCTTCTTTGTTCGCATGTACACACCCACCCATACACTCACGTGCGCACGCACGCACACGCACACATACACGCTCTCTCTTGCCTCCAATTTTTCATTCGTTTCTTTGCACTCATATATGACACGCGTGTAATTTTTCATGCACGTACTGTCACCAATTACCGCGAAAAATTCAATTATACACGTGTACGTCCACACCTGGTTATATTATGTCAGATAATATAATCCTTCATTTATATCCGTTAGTTCTTACGCTAGGCGTTAATTAGTGTTACATCTAGTCGCGTGTGGCCGGCCCGTGCTATCCAGAAACGCTACTGCACACAGTTGCGCTTCTTTTTTGTTGCTCGATGCACCGATGTGCCAGAAAAAGCATGCGCGACGGTGCTACCCTCTATTCCTCTCCTTCTATCTTTCCTGTCTCTGCACTGTCGTCCGTTAATTTCTTTCTTCTTTCTTACTTCGTTTTCATCCTGTTTTGCTATATTTATTTTTGCAAGCGTCTTCGCTTAATCGAGGATTTCTTGAGCATGTTATGCAATAAATTCTAATGAGTTCGTGGAAATTGTACATAAATGTTCAAGGGTTATCGATCGAGGTAATAAACAGAAGTCGATGATGGTGCGACAATCGATCTATTACAAAATCCGCGTAATTTAAGAGAATCGAACGGTACGAGAATTCTCGATCGTGAATTCTATGTAGCTCTCACAATCAGCTGTTGCCTTCAAAGACGATCTGAACGAGCCGGTTAGCACGGGCGGCCAGACCCATTCGAATGCGTTTACGATCCGAAAAATTACACAGTAACGTTATTTATTTTTTTTTCTTGTTTGTTTCTTTAATGTAACACGTACGGCATATCGTTAATTAACGTAATGTTATTTATATACTATGTATTTACAATCACATGAATCGTAGATATTCTAACGTATCGTTCGTCTCGTTCGACTAATCTCCTATCCTGCTTTCCAGTGCCATCTACTCTTCGACTCACTCTCTCCCCCCAAAACCTTAGATTTCTTTCATTTTCTTCACGGTTATTATTCACAGTTATTTCCGATTATATTCCCCACAAAACGTTTTTATTTTTTTCTCCTAACTTTAATCCCACGTTGTATCTTCTCGCTATTTCTCCCGTGTTATTTATTGCGCCACTCTTTTCTAGTTCGAGCTGAAACTTGTTCAATATTTTAACACCGTTGTGCAACGTATTCTCGCGCGTACACACATATACATATATATATCTATCTGTTCGTTTGTATATATATATTTATATATATCTTTATATATAATATAAAAAACAGTACTTCCTAATGCTTGCGAGAAGAAAGCAAATTTATAGGACGCCTCAGGCGACCCAAAAAGCTGTCCGTCCGTATGTTTATACAGCCGAACATGCAGAATGAGAAAACGGTCTGGGTCTTTGTTAGTTATAGCGATCATCCTCGTTATTTCGTATCAAATATATTTCGAAGCAGATTAGAATATGCAAATTACGAGTTTTCTCATATTTGTGGGTACCTTTATCGATCAACAATGGCAACCCTTCGATTCAAATATTTATAAAGAATTTTAAGAATTAATAAAAAAGGCGAAAGAAATCGTTTATACTATTTTTAATATTTGAATGTCGCGTTGGAGCTTGTATAGTGAACATGTAGCGTATGTACGTTTTACGTGGTAGCGTTTATTCGGTAGTAATTATTGGTAATCTTATTTTTCTCGTGCGACCCATTCCGTTACGAAACTTGACACGCATGCACGGATATATAACACTTTTTTATTGGCTTGTGTTTATACTCAATGCGCTTCAAGTACCAAAATTTGTCACCGTGGATCGTCTCGAAGCAATCGGTACGTTCCATTTACGTCCTCTCTTTTTATTCGGTTTTCTTTGAGAAAAACGGCCAGCGATATTATTTATAGAATCAATCTCGTTGAACGTATTTTAGAATAGAACACTTTTGAATAATGCAGGCAGTGATATTTTTCGTCGATTGGAATCGATAAATATGACAAGGACAAGAGTTACCTTTTCAGTCATCAAACATCAAACGATTTTAGGTTCGTGTAAAAATATTCAGCAACTATGAGAAAGAAGAGTCGATCTCGTTGTATGATATAAATGGATTCTTAATGCGATTAATGGCTTCTTCCCAATTAGTGAAAATGATCTTAACTCTACATCTTTAAGTAAATTACATATAAAGTTACGATATAGAATCACAAGCGATTTTTAAAACTAAGCAATTCCTATTCGTTTGATCTTTCGGAGAAACTTTTCAGTACATCGACTTGAGAGATAAAGAAACAAGCGTAATTTTAATAATTCTAATACCGCAATTCTTTATCATTTTTCAGCTTCTGCAAATCTCATTTAATTTCGACTGATAATTGGCAATCGTAACGTTACCCTATTGCGTTTCGAGTTACATAGAGAAGCTTCCATATTCTTATTAATTACGCTTCTTGTTCGATGTATAGAATGGCCGTAAAACATCCTCGTAGCTTAGAAAAAGGATTAGGAAAAACGAGGAAATTATTCGTACCTCATGCTGTCGGACGATTTCGACGGACCGTCTATCGGAGACGATCGTCGAGATGCATCTCTTTCTCTCGAGACGATCCCGAGTGCATGCGGTACACGGTCGAGTATAGACACATTTCGCTAATCGTCTCTCTAGTCGAATATAATTAATCACATCGCTTTTAAAAATTTCATCGAACAAGTTTCAATTCTATCGAGCGGCGCGGACGAAGTTCTCTGTCGGGATTCTACGATTACCTTGCGCGTATTTTACTTTTTTGTTACCGCCCCCCTTCTTTCAACCCTCCCAACCCCATCTCGTCGATCTATATCCAACCTCATTTCCCTTTTCTTTCTGGCAAAGTCACACTCGTTCGTCGTCGAGTTAATCTCGATGTGAAAGAAACTACGAAACCCTCCCGACAGAATCTCGCGATCGATCACGAAGACTTCGTTACTGTTTGGCTTCCCGCGAGAATGACACGAAGATCGCGAAACACCTCTGACAATGACGGATAATGAATAAGAAGGGTGAAACTCGTCTCTCAAACTTACGTCTTAGTCGTCGTTTGTTTTCAGCTACAGGGGGGTTTTACACGATCCATTCTCACAATGGCATTTCGTTTAGGCAAATATGTACAATGATCACATATGATGTTTAGCGATTAGTTAGAATGATTGTTTAGAACGATAGAGTTGCGTAAAACTTGAGGGTATAAAAGGTTTCTATATCGCGCGTGTTTGAAATACTTGGAAGATCGTGTATTTATATATAATTCCTATAAAAAATTCGTCTTCTCGTCCCGCTTTTGAAGGAGAGGAAGGGTAATTCGCAAGCTTCGTGTCGTTCATTTTCCTACCGCGACCAAGTAACCACTTTTCGACCGCGTGAAGAACTCGCGCCGAATTCACGGGTACTCCCCCGAGATTAATTAACCTCTAATTGCTAACGGCCGGATCATACTATCTCGACATGCTAAACGCGTTCCTTCTCGCCCTTACACCTTCGAGCTTCCCTCGTACACAGAGTAAAATCGTCGTTGGGACACCCGCGATCGACGATTGTCACGTTCACGGATGTCTCGATCGCGCACGACCGTGATCACGATCGAGTCGTTCGGAAAGCGGACTCGATCCTTCGTTGTGAAGATTTCTCCCTCGAAACACAGTAGTTTTCGCTGTACGATCATTTGTTGGTTAATCGCTTAGAGAAAGGAAACCCGTCAGTTATGTGTGACCGACAATAAAAATCGACTATTTTACTAGCTGACTGAGAATTTTAAGATCTTCTTTGGCTTCCATGTCTCTTCGAAAGTAAAACGATATAGCAGCTTGCCAAAATGACGTAGATTATTACGTCGAATCGTTCGTGTTATTTTCTTGTCGTGGTTCTCTTCTCGCGGTTGCTCGCGTCCTTCGATCAACTTCTCTCCTTCCATCGTTCATCGGGTCACGAAGTCTTTCCGAAGAAGCCTCGCACGTACACTTTCTCTCGTCTCTTGTCGCTGGAACGTTCCTCGAGGCGCCTTCCAGGTCTCGTAGCAGGAGATAATCGATCATTTTTCGACATAGTCCTCTCATATCGTTTCTGATTATCGTTCCGGCGCGAAGTAAGATGGATTCTTCGAATAAAGGACCATGAGGATCAAAAGGGCGAGGACGAATAGGCGACTGCCGTGACTCGAATACAGCGTCACGACGCCCGCCAGCCACCATAGCGTCGGACAGCCACCCGGTGCCGAGCTGATCCCTCTTTGAATCGCGGCAGGATGCTCGCCTATATCAGAGAATCGATTTTTATATAGTTACTTTTATCACGACGGAAATATGACGTATTTAGCAATTTTCTTTCCTTTAACGCGATCGTCTTTTTTAGCGGACGTGCAATCATAAAGAATTTGGAAAACTTCCTAGATAGGCAGATCGATATGTTCGTTTGCAGTTAGAAAGTTGACCTTCTTTCTTGAAATTTGAAAAATATGGGACTTTGAAGAGTGTTTGAAACTTTTAATAAAGTTGAGAGTTTGAAATAGCATAGTAAGTTTAGTAGAATTTGTCTTTTTGACGTTCCCATTTTTACTTATACTCGTACGAAATACTTTTATATTTCTATATACTTACAAAAATTAATTAATTTTAAAGACATTCGTAGTAAAGGCCAGATAAAGATTAATGAACCGTTTCTAATTTTCCGTTGTCCAAAGATTGTATTTTATGTCCGTTCCGTTTGTACTCGCGATTAGATTTAAGAAGTTGACGAAGGATTAAATAGAAACTGTGTTAAATTATTAGCGAACTAATTTTGCCGAGTTAGTCTCTTTAACAAATGCAATTTGTATTTACCATTATATTTCGTTATAGAACTTTTTCAAACAGAGAGTATTAAGTTTCAAAGTAAATCTTTAAATCAGATTGATTTTAGCAAAGTAATATCGTTAGAACGTAAAAGATTTCCCTACAAACCTTCCCTAGTAAAGTTCCACGTTTACCAGGAATGATCTATTAAAAAGGAAAGGATGCTTTTTCGTTTCGTGTCACTGCAACGTAGAGCGATCACGAAAGTAATTTAAGTTACTGAAACGCGAAAATGCTTACCATTTAACACGTGAAGCTGCACGCTCGCGCTGTCCAAACTACTCGGACTGCAGGTGTAATTGCCCGAGTCTTCCCGCCTCGCTTTATGGATCACGAGACTGCTGACCGTGTCGTGATCGATTCTCTTCGTTTGGATGTCGATTTTGTTTAATTGGTAATCCAGAACGCGATCACCCTCGTGGTACCAGAAAACATAGAAAGGACCCTCAAGGGACTGCTTGATCACGCACCGTATGGCAACTGTGCTTCCGGTCTTCACGTACATGTCACGATCGCCTATGATTTCGATCTTTGGCACTGAAAAATCGGTAGCCAATATTTATCTTTTCTTTACGATTTAATGAATGACAGTGTAATGAAATAACAAAGAATTCGAAATAATTATTTTTCATCCTTCAGATCTTTTGTATTCCTGCTATCAGATTGCTATAGGGAATAAATATTAATGATTCCCTTATATGATGCCACTTTAGATACGACATTTGGATTACTCTATTTGACAACATTCTCTCGTGCTAAATTATGGAATGTCTAAACAAAAAACGAAACTAATTCAAGAATGTTGTACTAAAACTTGTTCTGTATCTTAGCAAATATTTAAATGAAATTATAAGAAAATATTATACGTTATAATAAATATTTAATATGATATCGTATATATAGAGAGAGCATAACAGTTTTGCTAAAACATTGTTATGAATGATCTTTTCTTTGATAATTTCAACATAATAATAAAGAATATGTTTGTTTTTGCGATGGAAAGCTTTATTTCTGCTGATTATCGTATTATTAACGATAACCAACTACATATCGTGAGACACGGAACATGTTAATCAAAGAAAAATAGTAAGTATATTGTACTCACGATACTTTAATCTTTTATTTAAATTTTTTCTACTTAAACAATATATCAAAGAATATTTCTCTACGGGGTTAATACAAGTTGAGAAGTGGTAATTGCCGTGGGTCATCCGTGGCCCATGTGGCATCGAACGTGTTAAATGTAACGCAAGAAGGTGATCGAACGACAAAGAAAATTAATTACTAAATACACCGAGCGATTATTCGAGCGAACATTTTAGCGCCTCGCACGTACGAGTTACGTGAAAGAGAGAATGTCTGTATTTTACGCTCGTATAATTTTTTATCACGTCGATGGAACATGGTTCGCGAAGTGTTCCGTCGATCGATGACAGAGCTCTTCTCTGACAACATAAAAATAACACTGGCGTAGAATTGAACGACGATGGTCAATGGTTAATTTCTAAATGTACCGGAAATATCGATATGTCATTGAAAAAAAAAGGATATTATGTTATTTACACTTTCGATCGTATCTTACTAATTATTCATCTTAATATTGAAAATTATTGTTATTGTTAACAAAAAATGTTCACGCGATCTCACCGACGATGTTGAGCTTGATGATGTGACTCTTCTTCGGATCGGTCGAGATTTGGCACTCGTACTCGCCTTCGTCACGTGCCTGCACGTACTTAACCTGCAGGGTCCAGGTGTCCGACGCGTCTACGAAAAGCGCCTGGAACCTTTCGTCCGGGATAAACATTGTTCTATCTACCGAGAGGATATGCGAGTCCCTTCTTCTGATCCACGACACCTTTCATATTTGAGGAACAAACAGATTAATTTTAATAATATCGTCAATATATTATATTCGTCTGTTATCGTCTCATTATTATTGTGATACAATGGTTTGCTATAAATTCTGAAGCTCACAGTATTAATATTTCAATATAATTATTATTAACTCTATTTCTGACCAACTTTAATTAACTCTAATTCAACTGTGTCCTGCTAGACTCTACAATGTTAATGTTACATAAATAATATTAAGGATTTAATATTAAAGATTTAATGTACCATGTAGATATAGGAATGTGCTATAAATTCAAAATTTTCCGTCCGAAATACGTGACCGAACTTTAGAAGCGTGTCCTACTTATTTTAAAGCTAACAATAGGTTTGTATAAATATGAAGCATTCTTTAGAAGAAATACATTTTTCTTGGAAGATATTTACGGTCCAGAGGAAGATAATATGATCTGAATTATTTCGTGTGACAACATACTGATTATTTTTCAACGCTGTAACATATCAACACACAAGGTGATAAACTTGCGAAGTGTTCTTACGAAACTTTGACACAGACGAAGAGTGTTTAAAACTTGTTTAGAACTCGGACAGGAAGAGTTTTCCGAGTCATGTTTCTATGGTCTTTTTTCATCTTTAAAGTGACTAGAACATGGTTTGAAAGTTTGGTCACCTACTTCAGAATATTCTATATTCTTATATTTGAACCGAGATAGTGTATACTTCTATTTTTTTTTTTTTAATCTAAACGTGTAAAGTATACAGCAACGCTTCTATTGTGTTTTAACATGCCAAAAGAATATAAGAAATTCTATCTGCATATCTTATTTAACTTTGTCTTTACATAATATCGATCTTTCTCTTTAACTTTTAGTTCTTTCTATATAAATTACAGCTAACATAAATATTCAAAAATTTAACTTTCTACAAGTTATTCGATATTCATTGATATCGAGTATACGTTTGTTTGACTACTTTAACACGAATAAAGTTCTTACGGAGGTTTTATACCTTCGCAATTTATATGTTTCGAAACTTGACAATCCTTCATGTTACACAGTATTACACTTTAAAACTTTTTATTACACTTTTTACGATTTCTTTCGTTTAAAAGTAGACACTCTATAAAACAAGAAAGTAACTGTAATCGAAAAACGAACTTACATAAAATACTCTAATTTCTTTTATTGTCTTTGCATATTAGATCCGCTGTACTTTGCATCATAAACATGAATTTACAGTAAGCTCGGAAATTAACAAACAACGTAAACATTTCGTCCCACTTTTATTTATCAAACTAACAATATTTTAGCGAAACGAAGCAATTAATATTCATTAGCGATTGAAGGAAAATCGAAAAGCAGGAAATAGCAGTCGTATATGATCCCCCTCATCAATCCGAGCAGAGGAAAAATCCGCTCCAATTCGATGCTTTTTGCTCGGCATGGACGCATTGCGAGAATTATTAATCCCTTCTCCAATACGTAGCGTGGCTCTATTGTTAGATTTTTGGTCCGGAGCGCGGCCGTTTCTTCCACGTCGTGGCGAACAAAAAGCGAAATAAAGCAACAGACACGTTTCCAGTGACGAAGTGAAATTCAACCGTGTCTGGCTGAAAATTCGCAAGCTCCTCCCTGGACTGAATACAGGACAGAGAAACCAGGCTGCGGAAAAAGCGCGGAATACGCGAGCCGGCCGAGATGGAAAAAGAACCCCTGGCACGACTTTTCGATCTTGCTCGATCAATCTTCTTTCCCTTGTCTAGGGTTAATTTATCGTGCGTCGAACGGTTTCGCGGACGTTTCTTCCTTTCTTTACCGTCGATTCCAGGCAGTTACACGAAAGAAAACCGTATTAGAAGTACATTCAATCTATCCGCGCGATAAGTATAGCCAGAAACAGGTCGATTCGCCGCACGTTACGCGATGTTTTCCCTTGATGTGACGTCGACTTACAATCGAGGAAAGGTTGTAATCCACAAAGTAGAGTAATTGCTTCTTTGTTCGTGTCTGGCGATCAAAAGATCAAGGATAGAGTTTACAATTCAAGCCACGCGCGAAATATTTGCAAGCAGTACATACTCGGCTGCATCGATAGTAATCGGCGAAATGTAATCTCCTGGTCGGTTTCTGAAGCGCAATCGTTATCTGGGAAATTCCAAACTGAACGGAATTCGTTTATCTCGGCGAACGGCGTGCGTTGAAACCGAGGAGAACCGACCTTCCCATCTTTTTCTATTTCTCTCTACGTTTTTCTCTGGCTCAATTACGATTGTCGTGCCATTAATTTCCAGGAAGAAAGCAATAAATTAGTAAATCCCGTTTCTAGCTTTGCGTTACGTTCCATCGATCGCCTTCCGGCTTTTCTGGAATTTCTTTCGAAACTTTTACGGGACTTTTAACTCCGCCGATCCCCAGATACGAAAGGGATTTAATTGCATCGACATGAATCTTGAAATCCTTTCTTCGAATTTCGCCAACCATTCGGTTGCGCACCCAATTCCACGAACACGGACCGATTATCCTATTTTATTTTCTATTCCAATGCAATATATGAGGTATCTTATAATTACAGATCGATTAAAGGACGAATGGATGAACGAATGTTTAGTATGCGTAATTTGTTTAGTATACATACATCCGTTTTTGTTCTATACTTTAGTGTTGTGGCAAAACTTCAAAAAGTTAGGTTTTAGGAATCTATAAATAAGCAACTGTTCATATCTCGTGTCTTAGCAGAGACTAATAAAATTTCATGTAAAAATAGATCTCCTATTTTTTGATATATCTTCTCATTTTTGGTCAAAATAAATTACATCACATTTATACTTACGAAGACTAAAATCAATTTATCTAAATTTCAATTTTAATATTATTAATAATTTTTAATTTTACCAAGAATACACGTATACACTGTAGAAGTTAGCGAGTTAACTGTGAAAATAAAACAACATAATCTTCGAATAAGTATATAACACAATACAAAATGTTTTATCTAAACGACCAATGTCCAAGAATTGGATTTTTAAATTAGTTAAAATGTAAAGGAAGATCGAACATGTGATATTGGACAAAAATATTCCGCCTTCCGCCTGATTGATTTATAGCTCAGGTACGTCTCGTATATTTCCACTCACATTCCACCGAACGAAAGACGTGGAAACAAATGCAAAGTCACCGGCACGACCGTGTTCCGCAAATCGTCCGTGGAGAGTAATCGCTTTCAATCGTGTTTCTTGGTAGCGTGGTACAATGGTCGCCGACAGAAAGTCAGTAGTAAAGGTACGTTTAATTTTACGCGCGATAAATATCAAAAGAATAAAAAGGTAAGGGGGTGTAAAGGGGTCGCGACTCTATGGGTTCGCGGCCCTTAAGTACGCAATCGGACGATTATACAAGGGTCGCGTGTCGCCAGACACTTAGTCCTGCCTGTTTCGACATACAAGTTTCGTTATTGCACACACCAGTGAAGGTAAAATCTCACTAACGAGTGATACAGGCCGCGCACAAAAACATTTACCGCTCTGTCCTCTTGTCAGTCTCCCAAAAGAACCAGCCCCCTGTCACCGTTATCTGGGTTACTTTCATGTGGGGGCCATTTCTCTCTCTTCTTTTCTTCTTTATTCCCTTTCAATCTCTCTCTCTCTCTCTCTCTTCCTCTCTTTCTCTTCCTCGCCTCTCTCTCTCTTTCGTGAATCGTAAAATTCACGCGGCTCGTATAATCCGCCCTAACGGTCGTGAACGCAGACAGATTAGACTTTTATAGTTTCGCATAAATTCCCACGCAGATAGAGTCAGGATGTGTATCGGGATCGGCGGTTTATCGCGGCCATTTCGATTATTGTAATAGCGCGAACCGGACGGTTTAGCGACGCGGAATATCGACGGAAACGGAGGACCGATAGTACAACTTTTCGATGGCGAATCAGCGGCTTCATGGAAACCAACGGCACGATACTATCGGTACACCACCGTCACCTCACAGAAAACTGGGTATTCGCGTGCAAATAAATTCGCTTTATCTGCAAGCAGGCGGCGTTGGTATCCGGTCGTGCTTTTTGCAAGGAACTGGGATGAGATAACGGCTTTCCCAAAGTTTCTCGCCGGAGTTGAATCGAAATTAAGGAATCTGTAATTTAGGGATTCGTAATTTTGACCGCGCACCATCCGCAATCGTTCACCTGTCCTGTCTGCCGCAACTACTTCTTTTTGTACTTGTTTTGAACGTTTGCAAACGTTCGTAGAACTTCCAGTAAATTTTGTCTGATCTTAAGATTCGTATATAACGAGAGTTACGCGAATGTTCCAAGTTTTAATTGGTAGCGTTTTGTTGTATGGAAGGACACAAAGGGGAAAATGAGAATAATTAGGGGCAAAGGACTTACCGATTTATTACCAAGCTGTCGCACTTTGCACGGCAAGTAAGCATGACTTCCCAGTTGAGCCGTGATGTTCGTGGGGGTGTTTGAATCGAAGTACGGCCCCGTGTAAATCCCGTCGAACCTCTTCACTAACGAATGGGATCTTGTGCTCACCCCTGCAAGATTTCATCGATTTTCAGACGAAGACGTATGTACACAGGCTAAATGTATATTCTTCACAGGTTTAATCGAAAACTTAAATATAAAGTAGTAAAGAAGTTCCATTTTAGTAAATCAATTTATTTAATTCAGGTATTTTAGATATGTTAAAATTGTATCCATGTTCTATTAGACGAAATGTTTAATCTTCCACGAATGTAGAATCAAACATAATATTTTTCATCTGTAGGATTTGAAAAATTAAACAGTCGAAGAACGTATTTCTGTGACTGTATCTTAATATAAGTTCCGGTATTTATATTCTGTTCTTCATTTATTTGACGTAAGGTATGTAGAAAAGCCATCTCTCTGGTCGCTAATTTAAAATATCCGTTTCAAACTTAAAAACATCTTTCGTGTCATACTCGTCGTATTTTTACCAAAAATTGTTAAATTCACAGAATGCCACTGCAACACTCAACACCTTCTCTTTTCACATAATCTTTTTACAGCGACGAAACATTTGCACGAATCTCCGTCAAAGTTCGCTTCTAATCCGAACGCTTGTTACGTTTAAGAAGAATACATTAACACGGCGGCTAGACCGCGAGAGCTGGTTATTCTTGACGAATTTACATTGTACGGGTAGCGTTTCCATGATGGAATAATAAAAGGATCGCGGTACTATACTGTATTTCGCATTCGTGACGTCCATGTACGATGCCATCCTGTCTCGTTTTCTCTCTGTGGCCGCATCTATGCTCCTTTTCCCTTTACCTTCCGGAATAAATCCTATCAGAGAGCTTCCACCAGGCCATCGTGCATCGAGGAAATGGATACTAATCCAGGGGATTCCGATCCTGGGTATCCAAAGTCGGATCAGCATTCGCCCCGGGAAAGCAACCGTGGGCTTCGTTCCAACGACCTTGAGGACCCACTTCCGGACTGGCGTTCGAGGGATAAAAGGAAACCCGTACTCGTTCATGCGTTGCACTGCGATATGGTATCGTATGTATTCTGCGTTTGGCTACGTTTATTTTTTCGAACGTATCTTCTGGAAATGTATTCAGAAAATCAACGCATATCCGGAAATTACTAGGTTCGACATACAGGTGCTTCGTCGAGAACGTTCATGGAAAGCTTAGAACGATATCACAGCGCGTAGAAAATCCGTGCGTCCCGTGTGTCTGCGGGAATTGAAAGGAGCCTTTCGATTTATCGTCGACTGAAAGTCTCGAAAGTCCGCACGAGAACATGCGAGAAACGTCGAAGTGGAAGAACTCGATAAAACAGCTATTCGATGGAACTTTCTTGCACTCGCTTCGTAAGATACCGTTGGCAACTCGTCGCACGCTTAACAGAGGTTTATTCGTTTTTAACGCCGATGCCAAAACGACTCTGCAGGATGTTATGCAGGAATAGAGGAAATATTCGATGAATGTCGACACATCGTGATAAAGAGTTTATGGTAATAAGGAATTGTCTGAGACCGAGGTATCCATTCTTGCTGTAATTCACGAATTCATAGTTATTTATATGGCATCCGTAACGAGAAAAACAATTGGCCGACGCGGGGACTCGGATACGGTTCCTTCATTTATTGGACGACCGCTCTATTGATTGAGTTATTCAGGTCATCAACAACTTTTTCTTCCCGGTCTGCTGCTCGAAAATAGCTGCTATCGACGTATTACTTTTCACGTTTCCTTGCTGTATTTTTGATGCCCCGGTGACAAATCGTGGAACCTACATTTCGCTGCTCTAACTGGTATTATTGTTCTTTCCTTGGGTGTCATATTTCTTTTTATTTGCTTTTTATTTTTCCTATTTATTCTATTTCAGTAGAAGAGTAAAGACCTTGTAAGTTTATCGAGATTAATTAATAACGTAATATGACGATTTAGTTGTGGCGTAGTGATTTTTCCTTTAGACGTAGTTTTGCTTCTAGCAAGTAGTGCCAGTCATTGCCGCATTACAAACAAAAAGTTCCGGGTCGGCCGCAAATGACGTCATTGCAGGGAACGTGTTAAGGGAGTATAAGAAGAACGCATTAACCGTATTGCTGTATTATTCAACATATTTTAAGCAGCCGAATGAAAGAATGGTAAAAGAAACTGATATCGTGTTCGTACTTTCTCTTTACGTTGGCGCTGCTCCGAACGAAGTATAATGAGAATGTATTATGACAGCCGACGGAGTAGATAAGGAAGTTGACGATATATTTCAGTTACACTAATTTCTGTATATTACGCCTAAGGACTGAATAACATTCCCTCGTCATTTTGGATATCTTGTAATGACAGAACGTTTTCGTTGTTGAAAATATAAAGATAGCATTTCTATATTTAACCACGAACGAAGTAAAATGTGAATGTATCATGACACGCTACATAAGTATCTGTTATATATCTACTGATTTCTACAAATCATATAGAATACCTGAATAATGTTTTCGATATTTTAGAAATTGTATAATAATAAAGCCCATTTGCTGTTAAAAATATGAAAATTGATTGCCATTAAAATTAGTTTTATAAAATTCATCGCTGATAGATGACATTAATAAATAATGTAAATAAATAAATAAATTCCAAGATAAATTTGAAAGACTAATGTCACTAGATATTGCAGATAAAAATACAATTAATGAAATAGAATTTACATAGAAACTTGTTTCAGACATTAAGCTATTTATTTAGTGTCTAAGCTAATCGTCTACTTTCCTCTATTTTTGAATTTATGACTATAACATGCCTGGCTTTCGAACGACTCATATATCATACAAATACTAATTTTACATTATCGTACAGATCGATGTTACCTATATGATAGAATTATATAGAAAAGGATTTAGTGAGATCAGAGACAAAACAGGATCAACGAGACACGGTGAATTATAGGAACTCCTGCGACGTTCAATCGATCGAAAACGCGGCATCGCGCAGAGCAGTGTCTGCAAAAATCGAACGTCCGCATTGGCAAATAACATCCGGCCAGATAAATCCACACCCTTTCAATAATGCCGGTATTCATAACATTTAGAGTGCACGGATTATTGCATTATTGGCATCGCTTGATCGGGGTAAACGTTCGAGCGGTCGGGTCGAGTGTGTCAAACCGGGCTCACGTCGGCGCGCGGCGCCCGAGTTTTCGCCAGTTGCATATATCGAAGGTCCGTGATATCCGCAATTGGCCGATGCAATTCTGGTCTGATATTATACTACTACGTTTCAACGAATGCTTAGCTGCTCGCTACTTACGTCCCGTTACGGAAGCGTTTCGTCGTCTAGAGCGCATCCGGTTTTTAAGAGCGAGGCGAAATGCACCGATGTGACGCATTACGTCGTCGACGAAATAGCTCCTATTTTCGAACGTGATTTTAAACACACGGAAGTTATCGTTTCTGTCACAATGGCTCGTACACAACCGCAACGAGAATACAGGGCATTAAACGACGTTCATCTTGCTCATCGTTGTTTGAAAACGATTCGAACTAACTTCGAGCGAGTCAAGCCGCCTGGGCACTCGGAGGATGAAGTTCCATTGACCACTCGAAAGAATGAGAAGCTTAAAGGAACGTCGCTAGAATCCCGAGGACAAAAATACCATCGCTGACATCGTGAACGATGGCTTTTCTAATCAATAGAAAACCAGTAAGAGAGAACTTGGTAACAGATAAGCGTCCAAGTCGTGCGAACTCGATGATCGATCCATGAACGAGTCTATCGGATCGTATCCCGCTAATTCACGGTTTCAAACCGATATCCTTTTAACTGCATCTCGGGCAATCGCTACACGCTCGATGAATCGATTTGCCAACGCGTTTCCGTTCAGACGGCGCGAATTGGATTGGCAATCAGTGCGCACCGACCCGGTATCGCGAATACTGGAGACGCGCACGACCAATCGAGGCTCATCCTTCTAGGACACTCGGTCCTCCGGATTAAAGAATTCTTCAGGAATGCAAAATATTAGGCGCAAGGGTTACGGTTCGAACTGGAATCCCGCAAAGCTGAGACTCGTCGTAAAATGAATATAAGTAGACGTGAACGTAGCGTTACCGTGTGTCTCTGTTCTTTTTCTCAGAGTCGTTCTAAGCTGCGAGTTGAATTATTTCGACGTGCTCGGTGATTATCGTTCTCGACATTCCTGGAAATCATGTTTCACGCCAAGATTACAGAGAAAGAACAAAGGTGGGATGGGAGGTAGAGAGAAAAGCAGGAGAGAAAGAGGAACAAAGCGGCTGATTGTGTGGTTGGTGCAACGCGTCGCTTATGACCGTTCGTAAATTTCAGAGGGAATGAATCATTCACGAAGGCAAACAGAAGGGGGTTGAAGTTGTTAGCGATAGAGCTGTGCACTACACTGAATCGTAACACGAATTGCACGTCTGCAGGTGTAATTATATTTCTATCTCTGCTGCATTTATAAGGAATATGTAACTAAGAGTACGTGAGTATTTCTTTGAAAGAAGATGAATATAATTATGAGAGAGATTTTTGAAGGAAGCGTACCGAAAAGAAAGGTTAAGTACAAAATGAAATTAATAAGCGTTTGTTCTTTAAACAAAAGAGATATAGTTACCACGGAAATGTACTTACATGAATAGTATATACATCGGGTGATGAAATTACATTCCTATTTTTGTTACGGTTTAGAAGAAAGAGTGCAGCTCAAAAGAGAAAGATTTTTGAAGTAAATATTTACAACATAGAGACTGATAAAAATTATTTGTTTTAAAATAAAACGAATAAATGTTATGAGAGAAACTTTGAAGTTACAATAACATAGCAATCTATGATCAACAGTGTATTTGCGCGTATTTGCGGAACTATGTAACCATCCTCTTACCCACTACGAAAAAGAGTATGTGATTACAAGAGAGATTCTTGAAAGGTATATTCAGGAAGGAAAGATGAATTGCAAACTGAAGATTAATAACTATTTGTTTTTCATACAGAGAGAAATAATCGCGCAGAGAGAATCGAATCTGTAACAACACAGGAATCCACGATCAAAACTGTTAAATGTTTTTGATCCATAAATTATGTTGTTTTAGAAAATAAATGGCCCAACGATACCGCTACATTTCAAATAACCTGGTAGATCTGAGAATTCATCGGTACTACGCCAACATAGAGAGGTTTGCATATTCCATAAATTTCCTTGAGTAATGTCGAATCTAGATTGTTTTGACATGAACGATGGTTATCCGTGAGAAATTTAAACGCGCGTGTCAAAACGAAACTCTCGACAAAGTTATACATACGTGCATCTTGTTTCGTCGTAATTACGATTGAGTGAAATTACGAATTAAACCGATATGTAATTAAAACATGTTTATGGTTTATCTGCGTGTCAACGTACTGATTAATGTTAATGCGCTTATCGTGCGTTTGAGCGCAAAGAGAATGATGCGCCGATAGATTATTATTAACTGTGAACCATTATAAATGCGGATAGGTTTCTGTTGGATGTTGCGCAATCAAATGAAATGGTCCGTGAAAATAATAAAAGATAAAAAAGGAAGGGGGAAAAAAAGAAAAATACCTGAACCTACGTCGAAAGATGGGTGAAAGTGGAAATAAATTTCTTGGAAACAGAAAGAGGATTTCTGACAGATATTTCTCAGGAGACGATAGAGCACGGTCGATGCGGAAAATCGAGCATCGACGGGGTTGCGTTTTCGCCGCTTTATTAGAACTACACGTACAAGTGTTCGATGTAATTTTACGACGTCATCGGACACTAATCTCAGACATAAATCTGGATTCTCGGTTCCCTCGAAGATCGTTCTTCCTAGCCCTCCCAGTGAGGCTAACTCGATTTTCTGTCTTACTAGTTCATCAAACATTTACGTTCCACTACTTCCATCGTACATTTTCCACGCTGCACGCCGAGTTAATGGTTATCGTTCGATTGTCGCTTAAAACAGCCGATATTAAGCGAATAATTATTTACGTTCCCAGCGATATCGTCCGATTTGCTTCAAACAAAATTCAAAGTTACGATCTTTAATTGTATAAGAAGAGAAATAACAAGGAATGCTCGACGTTTTCATCTCTTTTCATTTTCGATCGAACATATTTGCTTGCAATATCTCGAAGAACATTTTCCTCACTTTCTAGTGACTACTACGAACGATCAATCACCGATACGCGGTACAAAACGCGTTAATAATTGCATTTAATTTCACGTTGTTTGATAAAAATCTGTTTGAACAAGAGCAATGTAACGTATTAACGCAACACAGAGTTCATGAATAATGGAACCGAAACATCGTGTAAGATCTAACCCCGATACAGTTTAGACGAGCAGACATCCGAGAAAGCGATTTCCTGTGGCGATGGTTGAAACACCGAAATTCTCATTCGGAGGTAACAATGTTGGTCGGTTAATCATCCTGGGGTATAATCAGTGGCTGTGCTACGATTATGTTACGAGTGGAAAGTGCATAATGTATCCCGTCGATACGTACAATAGAAATTGTTTTCGTGTTGCGGATTCGAGTACGGTTGGGTAGACGAATCCAATTAAGAGTATGAGATGGGGATAGAAAACGACGTGGGCCAGAATACGGTAAATTGTTTAACAAAATTACCGACTGTACGTCAGTTGCGTTAATGGCATCGATTTGTGCTCCGTTCGCAAGTTCTACGAGTGTCGTTTAGTTCGCGGTTTGGCAGCCTTTCGTGTGTGTTTCAACGGTTCCTGCTTTCTCTCTTACTCCGTCGCGGTTCGTTCGATAACAGCCGCGTCGAAAGCGACGAATGGAACGTATTTATAAAGCGACCGACGCGGATAATGAACGACCCGATCGACAACAACTTGATGCCCACTTTGCATACTGAAATGTTTCCACGTTACATGCATCTACGTCGATCGATAAGAAAAAAGCACCGTCTGATACGGCCGTGCTTGATAAATCCTTTTTATCGGGCCTCTTCTCTTTTTTTTCTCCTGCAAGATATAAGAGTCCTGAGAAGAGTTCTCCAATACAAAGGAGAAATTATTGCAAGACTGACGAGGGTGCTGGTAGTCTCTGTATCAAGGGGAAACGGTATCCTGGAAGATCATTAAGATAAAACATGTCGAGGGTAGCGATCCGTGAATTAATGGACTATCCATTGAATCAGCAAAAAAAAAAAAAAAAAGGAGAAGAAAAGAACTAACGCGAGGAGGGAAGAAGTAATTAACACGCTTATGGCGCGACTAACAGGGATTTTCATAAGAGTTACATAAGCCTCGAGATCGACGCTTCGCTGCTACGAAGATGTGGGTAATTGCACGGTTATCGCGGCGTGACCTGTTTAAGAGACGGACCATCGACTATATTCTTTTGATACCGGCGTAACACCATAAACGGGAAGCAGTAAACGCGAATAGCGTTTTAACTGATATAATTAAGTTTGAAGTTATTATTTTGTCGTCAGGAAGGCTATCAGGTGCAAACTGAGCAACATAGATACGAGCGGTATTACACGATCGACTGCCACGATCTTCGTTCGCATTACTCGTCTGTGATGTTAGAGTCGGTTCGATCGACAAACTGCGAAAATCTTCAGTGAAAAGTGTATATAAAAAGGAGCTAACCGTATCATCGCGATGCAGCCGCGCGAGAGATGAAATCGATAGACACGTCCCTGAACGACGTCAGAGCGAAGATGAGGGAACACGCTACCCTTCTGTCATCACCTCGCCCCCTAGTTCACGATGACGGAATCATCGAGTCGACACGGTGACCCGACAAGGATGGCGAAGAATAAAAAAAATCTAGCGATCCGAGAGACAAAGGGAAGAATAGGGAAAATACAATACTGTCGCCGCGACAAACAAGGGTGGCGCTAGATACAGCCCTGGACCGGGTCCGGAAGCAGCCCCCTCCCTCCTCCTGCCTATGAGTCCTCCTTTTTCCCTCCACTCGCGTATCTCGATCCTCTTGCGTCCATCGATCGCGAATACACACGATCAGCTGCCGAATTCTTCACATTTGAGTCGGACCTACGCGACACAGGTTTGTATGCACGCGTGCTAATTCACGTACGCACAGTTACACCCCAAAATCTGATCGATCCATCCGCAGTACAAGTCTTCAGTACAGCCCCGCCTGGCCCCTTTCCTCCCCCCTCGTCGTTCTCACGTCACGCGGCCCCCCCTTATCACCCTGAAAAGACGCGCGTGTTGCTAGTCCATCAGTGATCCGAACCTAGGATACGCGAGATTCACGATTAGCAGAAACCACCTGGTTAGGTGATTTGCCAGCCATCCTATGACGCGACTACCAGACGTCAACGCGTGTGCACTTTCCCGCGGGAATCTCGAAAGATCGATGCACGATCCGCGAGAGCTCGAACCCTCTTTCGAGAGCGAACGAACATATGTCACGCGGGTGAAATGGATCTTACCGGTGATGCCTAGGAGAATCCAGCACACGAGGCACAGGACGTAGTAATTCACGTAAGAGGATCTCCTCATGATGACGAAGACAGTGACGACGACGACGACGACGACGAGAACGACGACGCAGTTGCCTTCGACGGGTCCACTGACATCTCAAAACAACCAGCACACCAAAGATCGGTGCACCCTCTCACTCCTAACCCTCCGTCATCACTCTGTTCATCCTCCTTGACTCGATGCTACCAGACCTCGTGCATAGTACGATTCTTTATCACCCTCGACGTTTTTTTTTCTCTTTCGTTTGTCACGCACAATGCCTCTTATACGGATACACCACCGTGGTATCGGTGTCGCACTGATCACATATTATCTCCCAATTAGTCGTCGATTAGGCACGCCAATCCTGAACGATGTACCTCTTATACACCGTGTCGTGTTTGCTCGAGACGACGTGGTACGTTTTCCTCAACGTGTGTGTTTAAAGGTTGTAGCACGTTTCCTCTCGATGGCGGACGACCGGAACGCGACGTCGTATACGCGAGGCTGTCACTACGGGGGCTTATACGTCGTCGCGTGATATGGCCCCTTTTCCGACCGATCCTTCAAACACGGCTAACTACGACCGAGTTTTGCGTACGGGTCGTCTGCGGTTCGTCGTCC